ACACAACACACACAACACACACAACACACACACAACACACACACAACACACACACAACACACACACAACACACACACAACACACACACAACACACACACAACACCCACACAACACACACACAACACACACACAACACACACACAACACACACACAACACACACACAACACACACACAACACACACACAACACACACACAACACACACACAACACACACACAACACACACACAACACACACACAACACACACACAAAACACACCACACCACGCACACACACACACACACACATCACACACACACACACACACACAACACACACACTCACACACACACACGCACACGCAAACACCACACAACAAACCACCCACACCCCCACACACCACCCAGACCCACCAACCCACACACCACCACACAGCATCACCACACCAACACACACACACACACACGATCACCACACGACACAGACACACAGCACACACACACACACACACCACACAACACACCCACGACCCACACACACAACAACACACACAACAAACACACACACAAACACACACAAACACACACAAACACACACAAACACCACACACCACACACACACACACACACACACACACACACACACACACACACACACACACACACACACACACACACCACACACACACACACACACACACACACACACACACACACACACACACACACACACACACACACACACACACACACACACACACATACATATACACATACACATACACATACACATACACACCAACCCACCCACCCCCTGACCCACACCCACACTCACACCCACACCCGCACGCGCACGCCCCGCGCCCACGCGCCGACGCGCCCACGCGCCCACGCGCCCACTCGCCCACGCGCCCACGCGCCGACACGCCCACACACCCACACGCCCACGCCCATGCCCCCACCCACCCACGCCCACGCCCATGCCCCCACGCATGCACGCACGCACGCACGCACGCATGCACGCGCGCGCCCGCCCTGCAAACTACTCGGACTGCCTCGAAGGCTGCCTGTTTGGCCTCGGCCTTGGCCTGGGCTTCCAGCTCCTTCCAGTGCATTACCTGATGGAGCTGCTGCCATGCCTCGAGCGCCTCTGCAGAAAGGCTCGGGTCTGACTGACAGGTGTTTCAATGATTCTATGCATCTGTGGTAAGCCTATAAGTGTTGAGCAAAGCAAGTGGTAAATCTTCAGGTTGATACATGTTGATGCCGCTTCCGGCTTCCATGTCAACATCTCATCCCTCAGAAGGGCCTCGCTGGCGAACTCTGCCTGGCGCTCCTCAATTCCACAAATGAGGTGTGGGTTGGTACGGTTCTGATTCCGAGCAAACCACTCAGGCATACATTGCTTCGCCAGAGGCGTCTGCAGAGTTGCAGCATAGGCGCATCCCCGAAGTCGCATTCTGGCACAAGCTGAGAAAGACGCTGAAAACTGCAAGCAAGCCGCCTCTGCTTGGGCCAACGCCCGCCTCAGCTGCTCGTTCTCATTGCTGACCTGACAGGGCGTTCCATCATGAGAATGTGCAACCTTCCATGCGCTCAAGCGGCCTGGTCGGAGCTCGAGCCGCTGTCCTGGCTTCACAATGTTGGAAAACCGTAACCGTTCCGTAACCGTACTCCCAAGGCCGGCAGCAACTTCCTAGCATTCTCGCTCATTGGATTCATCCGCCATGGATGTCAGGAGCCGCAAGCCAAGTATAGTACAATAAACTCACACGGAGGATCGTCCTTCTCAACATACATGGGCTGCATGCATTGCCAGACCTTGCGGTGAAAATAACGGTTGCCCACTGCCTTGACATAAATATCCGTGCTGTTGATAGAGGGAAATGGAAACTGCCGTAAGACACACTCCCGAAAAAGCCAAAATGACTAGTGTGATGGCTGATGATTGCTGTCTGCAAAAGTAAGAGTCGATACAGTACCACATCCGAAAGGAGACTACAATCTTACCCTAAGTCACAGCACTGAATAAGAGAACATTGGCTTCAGAAAGCCGGCGCTCGGCCGAGAGCTAACACCTAACACTGCGGAAAAAAAGCATGCTGTGCAAAACAAGAAATCCAGGGTGATGTAGGGGTCGGAATAGTTACTAATAATATTCACTTAGTCCCTGTAAACATATTCTACAATAACCTAGCTATTAGTCCCTTTGGAACCGTCAGATTTGGGGCCCAATTTCTTTTTGGGGGAGCCTCCCAGGCGTAGGAATCTACGGGGGCCAAAGTAAAGAACTCCGGGGTTCCTTCATCTTAGGAATCTCTGCAGTACATTTTTCCCAAAGCTGGGGTGAGCCTTGTCACTACCGAAGCCTGAACCCTCACGACCTGAGCGCTCAACCCCTCCACCTCCTCTCAGCTTCTAACCCTGAACCTCAAAGCTCAACTCCCTTCATGCCCAAAAGAAGACAAGCAAATGAGGGGGGGGGTTCTCTTAAATACAAGAAAATGAGGGGCTCATACAAGAAAATGAGGGGCTCATTTTCTCAAATTCAAGGAAATGAAGGGCTCGTTTTCTTGAAGCTAAGAAAATGAGAGCCTCGTCTTCTTAATATCCATTTGAACTTGAAAATTGGATTTCCTGATGGGTGGGCCTGCTCAAATTAGAAGTCTCGGGACTGTTGGGAACGGTTGTGGGACTGTTTGGAGGGTTTGGTCTGGTGGGAGGGTTTGGGGGAAAACCCAGTTGCCATTCACTGAGAAATCTTGCTTTGGGCCCTTCAACAAGAATAGGATTTACATTCAAATGGCACCGTGCAAGGACTTTACACATGGTCAGGACAAGCCTGGACGCTGTTATCCCCCTTCTAGCTGCCACATACCCGCAACAAACGGTGTGTCTTGTTCGGTAATGCAAACCCTTGCACCTGCAGTTCCTCTGAAGAAGCTTCGGTAACGAAAACAGCAAGCTGGCCCGCATTATACTATGTTCTACATTGATTGCAGGATACCTTCACTTCTAGGGATGGGATTTGGGGATTAAAAGCATAAACCATGTGGTTCGGACAGCTACACCAGCTGAACTACAGAATCACAACACCTTTCAGTTCGCCTCGCGGCTCCAAGCTGAAGCCAGATGGTGAGGCAGATCCTAGAATGGATCTCAGGGTGCAAGACTCAGTACGCTTTCAGTTGCTCTGCTTCTCTTTTGTTTCGGCATGCTTGCACTTGAGCTGAGCAATCGCTACTACAAGTTGCTGCACGTTGGGGCTGATACGGCTGCCACGATGTTCGCTAACCTAGCTGGCGACCGTCTTGAAACCGCATGGAATCGATTTGATCTTCGTAAACAATCCTCCACAAATATCGCGACTCCAACTCAATGTCCAAGGGGGTCAACACTTGCAGGGCCTGGCAGGCGTAGACATTCTCGTCGTGAGACGCACTGTCTGCTGCGCTTCCAAACCCATCACCTTTTCGTGCCGAGCATTGGGCAGGCACTGGGACTGAACATCATAAAAAATATAAAATGAATAAAACCTTCTTCTCTCAGGCTGAAGCGCACCCGCTTGTTCTTGCAGTCAGTGCATGGACACAAAAAGATCACCTGTCCTGCGGTCCTGCAGCTCGTGCCCGGCCTGTTTGGACTGTCTCCCAGCCCTCGCCACTGCTGGGCCAGTGACTCCATGACCAATGCCACGACTGGCAGTCACACAAATCAGACCATGCCACTATGCCCTAATCCCACTGACTGGCGCAAGGCGCAGAGTCTGACTGTTTCTTTCAGAGACGTACCACGGTGAAGGACGGCGGGTTTCTAACTGGGATGCTCACATGGACGCAGGCCTCATCGTGGCTCCAGCGATCTGCGGACCTCATGCCAATGTCGTACGACAGCACGTCGCTCGATTTCCACAAGATTTCTCTCATGCGAGGGATGTTTTCAGGTTCCTTCGAAACAAACCTTCGAAAACAAATGTGGGGGGGCAACCCAAAGGACGGTATTCAACGTTCAAGCAATGCTCCAATTCAATGCGGGGGATCCAGTGATTCAGTGATTCATGTTGCATGGACGTTCGTACTCACACCGGGGGAACGAGGATATGTCCACGGACATCGTACACTTGCGGCGGCCAGGGGAATTTCAGCAAGTGCCTTGCATGGGTTCACGGTTCAGGGGCTTCAGGGAGGGTTGAGGTTTTAGACTCTAAACTATTCCCTGCTCGACTTCAGGACTGCGAGCTGATTGTCGAAGCTCAAGGTAGAAGGTCTAGAGCTCAGGGAGAGTTCGAGGTTCAAGCTCGGGCTTTGCAGGGCATTTGGTGGAAGCTCAGGGCATTAGAGTTTCATGGCTGATGGGCTTTGCTTGTGGTGTTTCAGGTTCAGAGGTTCAGGGACGCACTGCCAACAAGGGCATGCAAGGGCAAGACCGAGCCCGCGACCAGGAGCCACCATGTTCAAGGAAGCGTTGAGCCATGTTCAGCAAAGCTTTCCGCCAGACAGGTGTTAGTGTTATGGCTTTCATGTCGTGGTAAATACTGTAGATAGCCTGAATAGTTTAGTGCTTTCAGAGCGTTTGGGGAGTGATGTGGAGTGGCTGGCTTCCAGCCTGCTGTTTGAAGCTAGCTATGCTTCTAGCTTCTTCCAGCCTAGTCATGAAAAGCTAGTTGTTTGGGTAGTTGATTTCAAGCCCGCTGACTGCATGTCTAAATTTGAGTCAACATTTCGAGAACCGAAGCCGTCTGATGAGCCAGGATGGACGAGGGCAAAGGTTCAATGAAAGCACTTCAGTCCTGCGGTGAGAGCCTTCCAAATGGCACATACGTACGCTAGTACCTAAGACAAGAGAGAACATTCTTCAAGCCAACAGAGAAAAATCCCCGTACTTGGTGCGCGGAGCTCTCTCTCTCACTCACTCAGTGCCACGTTTTTCAGGCGGCGTGGCTCAAAGGACGCTGCAAGCCGAATGGTCCCGCGAAGAGGCCGAGCAGGCCGGGAACCTGGTCACGCATTGCAGCTAAGCCGTAGCAGAATGCAACAACCATGCTACGAAATACCGTGAGAGCAATCCAAAGAAGACGAGGAAATTCCGCTGACAATGCCATCACAAACTACTGGAGGCGCCCGAGCCCGCCCAGGCACCTGAACCCGCCAAGCCTCTCCTCAACGCTTAGCGTACTGCTAGTGAGTTTTGAGGTTCAGGGCTGCGCGACGTGAGACAGAAAAGTTCCCTCAGTTCTCAACCCTAACCCTGAGCCCAGTTTCCATGAAAACTCTTTCGAATGTTGACCAGCTCGAGACTGCAGTCCCTCTTCGACCCATGAGCCACACGATGCTCGGCACTTTCAAACCCAGGCCTGCGTGATGATTGGAGCGCGCACGATCTGCGCGCGAGGGGAATCAGGGCTCAACATGCATCCTTATCTTAAGGTTCTAAATACGTGGACCCTTACTATCGTAAACAACCGGAAAGACCCGCGCCGCGCAAGAAAGACGCAGTCGTGGAGAAGTGGCTGCGGCCGTGCTGCCCAGAACAACCCTAAACCCAGTGTCGCAAACCGCGAGCCCAAATCTTGCATTTTAACGTGCGAAACCTGGAGCTCCAAATCTTGAAGCCCATCGCCAGTCAAGCTGCACGAACACGGAAAGCATAGGCTGTGCACGGCTTCGAGGATTAGGGGCCCTGGGCCTGAAAAAGCCTTGAATCTGAAAGCTACCTGGCAGGCGAATAAGAAATGCAAGCATCTGCTCAATCTACTCCTGCTGCTCTCCTACCCTAATCCTACAACCTGAAACTCCTAAACCCTAAACAGCTCAACCCCCAAGAGCCCTCATAGGCCAACAAAAACTCCGAGGGCCGAGCAGATTGCTGGAGCCTGACACACGGCAATCCGAAACAGATGGTGTAGAGGCAAATGGAGGTTCAGGAGGGTTTTGGGGGTTCACGAGCAAAGAAGCGCAAGGGAGTTGGTGCGTGAGGTGCAGGGGGCTTGAAGGTTTGCACCCTTCTTGTCGCCCTTTAGTCATCACAGCCTCGGCTCACCGAGCGGGCTTGACAGCGGAGGGTAGCAGCGCCAACCTCGAAGGCAGAACATGTAAAGCAACTGGGTGCGATGGCAAGCAGTCAGCATCTAGCACGCTGACTGAATCACCCCTATGGTGCTCTTCGCTGAGGGATTGAATGGAGCCTGACATCTGAAATCTGCATGACCACGACAACCACGACATGCATGCGCCAAAAGTAGGGCCCCCTAAGCCCCAAATCTAACTCCAAATGTCCATCAAAACTCCACCTTGTAATCTCGCCAGGTTTACCGCCACCCCTTCCAGGTTTGTGAGCCAGGAGGCCTTCCTGGAAGCCAGAAAGCATCGGCAAGCTTGCTGGTGCCTAGTAAGTACGAAGATATTTTGTCTCACTCATCTAGGGTTCATGATTCCCGACCAAGAACCAGAAACTTTAGCTGGGACACATGCCCACAGGCAGAAAGGCTGTGATGACCCCCCACCGCCAGGGGGATGATTCTGGCATTTTGTGGCACAGGACACAGGACTCACTTGGCACAGTTCGTGCAACGTAGGATATCTGATCGGCATACCTGCAGATGGGTGCTTGTCGAGCTACAGCACATCTTTGTTGCATTTTGCATCTCTCTCGTCAATCCGTGTCAAAGCGCAAATTCATAATTCATGCTAAGCAAATTCTGAGCACTGTGCGCAGCACCAGGACTTTGGTGTCCGCGGAAGCCTGAAACAATAGCGTGCGCAAGATTCTGGGCCTGAAGCTGCAGCTGACATGTGAGTTATTGAGGCTGTCAAGACTTCCACATCTGCTGCAAATTCGGTTGACGGACATGGGGCAGCAACCGAAACCGCCATGGTGCCTGCCGCAGTTGACGATTCGGGTCTCCAATACCTGCTTGTGAAGTGGCTTTGGCACTCTCGCACGTTAAATGCGCTCTGATCGAAAATGCCGCACCCGCAACCAATCATCCCCCTGTTGCAAAGCTTTCAAATTCCAGACTGCCAATCTGACCCATGCAAAGAATCGCGCCGTGGCAAGCTGGCGTCGGGCAAACAAGGCTGCACGAAAGCCCTGAGCTCTAACACTCCGGACGCTCGTAAGCAAGAGTTGCCTGCATTCATGAAACTACTCAGCGCCGATAGGGCTGCATAGGGCTGCTCTCTGACAAAGTGAACTTTCCGGACTTACTGAACAGCCGAAGAGAGAGCCAATTGCCCCAGTTTACGGATTCTAGATGGTTTCTGCCATCCTGACCTCTCAGAATTTTGTGAGTCTACGAAGCTAACTGAAAAAGGTTGCTTGCGTTTAGTCTGCAGCGGGTAGAATGCGCTTGCAACTGTTGGCAACATGCTGGCTGCACTTGGAATTCGTTAGCCGCAGAGGCCTGAGGCTCACGGCAGTCAGGCACGCTGGAGGGCAAACAGAGCTTGGGGGGGGAGGGGGGGTGAGGGACTATGTGTTGCGCCAACGCATGTCATGAGGGACTGGAGTGCAAAGTGAGATTTGAATGGCCATTTATGAGATCTTCTGAGGTTCCTTCTCATTGCCTCTCCTCATGGTGAGACATGCCAGGCGCGGGACTTAAGTTCACCCCTTTGGCGTTCTGGACTCTAAGATTCCTCTTCCGTGCTGAGCTCGCAATCCTCCAGCGATCGATTTGTAGCTACGGGGTACTTCACTGCCAGCTCCGTTCGTCGGTCCTTTACATTGCGACCAAACCCTGCCCAGCAGAGTTCTCAGCCGCCATGGTGGCCTGCCAGAGCTTGCAGCTTCACCACGAAAAACCCACAACAAAGGCTCACGGTAAGGGTTCGCGATCTCTCGCACTGGCAAGAGCGGGCGAGGTTACAAGTATGCTTTTTTGCAAGACTGGGAAAGCGACCTAGCTCAGGTGGGACTCAACTCATTTACGTCATTCAACAAGATCTTCGACTTCAAGTTGGGGGGGGGGTGTCCTCGATTTGTCGACAGGGTTGATCGAGCTGCGCCCAAAGCTGAAAGCCGAGTTGGACGAGACATTACTTCCAAGCCCTTGGCAAGTAATCCGAAAAAGCCTAGGAGTCTCTAGACTCTAGAAGTCTACCACATCCCTTTCCCTCTGAACCCTATTTGCGCACTCACCCCTTGTGCGCGGCCTGCCAAACCTGTGACAGAACCAGAAGCTTCGGGTTTTTTCTTCTCGCGAGCAGGTGCGTTGGCGGCTTTGGCCAGGGTAACGTTCTCATCCACGACAACATTTAGCCTCCGGGTGCAGCACAGGGCCGTTTGACGGGATTGAGCTTCATTTAAGGGGTATCTAGCTCAGCTTCAGAGGTGAACGGCCTGCACTGCAAAGCCGGTATGTGTTTTCAAGATCTCGTGCCCCCCAGGGCCCAGGCGGTGGAGTTGCTGTTCTCCCGTTCCCTTGTGCAATCCCGGCCTGTTCTGAGTTCGTTTGCAGTTGTGGAGCCCTGAACTCTAAACCCTAAACCCGCGGCGCACGCGACGCCACACGCCGCATCTGCCGCTGGGGGACTGGGACACTGCCAGGAAGATCCTCATTGCGACCGAGACGTTCGCGATGGGAGTGAATATGCCGGCACGAAGTGTGATCTTCACAGCCTGGGCCGCTTGTGGAAATTGTGCTCAGAGTTGTTTGGGATAAAGGGAGCCCCAAAGTTGGGATCAATGCACGCTGTGTGACCCGTAAAACCTCAAAGTTCCTCCTACGCCCGAAAGAGGGAGTGCCTGGAGCATCTCCGAGCACCACAGGAGCCCTTAACCGATTCAGCCTCCCCTAAACCCTCAACCCTAAACCCTGGGCAACCGTTCAAACTTGGACTTCTTGCTCCTCAAGCAGGTTTTCCCTCGTAGGGCTTCAGGGCACGGAATCTCAGGTTGTGGGCAGCAACCCCCAAACCCTAAACCCCCAACCCTAAAACCTAAACCCTAAACCCTAAATCCTAAATCCTAAAAAACGTAAACCCAAAGCCTTAAACCCGAAACCCTAAACCCTAAACCCTGAACCCCTGACACCCTGAACTTCAAAACTCTGAAGCCCCATAGAACCCCGAAAGCACGAGCCTTAGGCGGTCGCAGCCCTAAAGCCTAAACCGAATCTGAATCTCACAGCTCGAACTCAAAGGGGCTTCCTCTACCAAAACCTTAAACCCTAAACCCTACCCTTTCCAACCCATGAAGGACGCTCCAGCGTCCGAAACCACCCGCAAAACACCGCAGATGACGGGGGGGTCGAAGGGTCAGTGGCCGGATGGCCCATGTGCACCCCCCCAGACCAAGAAGGGGGTCTGACATCCGAGAATGAGCGATTTTGGGCTGTGGCGGGGATACCTCCCACCGAAGGAGAAACGACCAGCAAGATCATGAAGAGAAGGTGGGACTCAGCCCAGTAGAGGTGGTCGCGTATGGGTTTTTGGTTTAGGAACTCTGAACT